GAGGCAATGGCGTACATGCCAAGGTATGCAAAATACCTCAAGGGGCTTCTTGCAAAGAAGCACAAGCTTGAATACCTTGTAACCATCACTTTGGGCGAAGAGTGTTCAGCCTTCATCTATCCAAAACAAGTTGCCTAAAAAACAATAAGATCCAGGTAGTTTCACTATCCCTATTTTCATTGGATCATGCCACATAGAAAACTCCTTGGCTGATTTAGGAGCAAGCATTAACGTCATGCCATTTAAGCTTTACAAGAGATTGAACCTAGGTGAATTGAAACCCACTAGGTTAAGTGTTACCTTGGCTGACCGTTCGGTAATTAGTCCTAGGGGTATTTGGAAAGATGTCCTAGTGAGGGTGGGCACATTCTATTATCCGATGGATTTCATTATCTTGGATATTAGTGAAGATGCCGATATGCCCCTCATACTAGGATGTCCTTTCCTACCGTATTGTTACAAATTAACGATTTGTAACCATTTATGATAACTACCCCCGACAGAAAAGACAAGTTGGCCGGTGCACACCGAAAGGCGGACTAGTCGACCCAACCCAAGGTCCAATTACGATCTTTTTAACTGCAACAACTTAAATATACGTTATTGGAGGTGGAATTACATCCACTGATGGCGCCAGACTTGCCCTCCTATGGGTACTCGTTAGGGGGTTTATATTGTAATCATTCCAATTACCATACTCAAAGAGCCCAGTATTGTTATTTATTGTCACTAGCTACCCGTGTCAGGATTGGGTAATTTGCGTACCTGCTGCCTTCCTTGGATGTGGTAGCCGTTTCTCAGGCTCCTTCTCCGGGATCGAACCCTAATTCTCCGTCACCCGTCACCACCATGGTAGGCCTCTATCCTACCATCGAAATTTGATAGGGCAAAAATTTAAATAATGTGTCGCCGGCATAAAGTTCGTACGATCCGTCGAGTTATCATGAATCATCAAAACTACAGGCAGAGCCCGCGTTTACCTTTTAAGTTTTATCTAATAAATGTGCCCCTTTCAGAAGTCATGGTTTGTTGCACGTGTTAGCTCTAGAATTACTATGGTTAACTGAGTAGCAGGTACCATCAAACAAACTATAAATGATTTAATGAGCCATTCGCAGTTTCGCTGTCTGAATTAGTTCATACTTACACATGCATGGCTTAATCTTTGAGACAAGCATATGACTACTAGTAGGATCAACCAGGTACCATTTCCTCTTTCGATGCTCCAACTACAACAGACCAACCCATCCAAGCAAACGCAATGAAACGAGCAGGTCAGTTCGAGGATGTTGCGGTCGTTCAAAAAGGATTCTTAGGGTAGGGCCAATATTAGGGAGATTAAAAATCCCCCATGGCCACATCACATTCCGTAATGAAGAGCACAACAACATACGAGAGCCAAATCCCCCACCAACCATAAGAGCTTGGAACACAAGGGACGCTACATTGTCCACCACGAGCTCGAAGCGAGCACACAACAAAAATTAAAGGCCAACTTCAAACTTCCCCTTAATGGGTATGCAACACAGGAACCCGATGATCACCCCTCACTGTGGGCAAGAAGATGGTTCGATGCTCAGAGCACGGAGCCCGCCCTACAAAACAACTCAACAACCACTCGTGCGCATCACGTACAATGCAAAAGAACCCCAACAAGATGACCCACTTATGCGCTTAGCACGTAAATTGACTCCAAAGAGACAAATTAGAGAAAACCACATTCGTCTAGAACAAATATCAATACACAATTTACCCATTGTCAATGTTCCACAAAAACATTTTCGGATAACCCACATTCACTTGATTCGGCCACTTGCACACTGCATAGCACATAAATTGCCTCCGAAGAGACAAATGAAAGAAACCCACATTCGTCGAAAGCAAATATCGATACACGGTTTACAAGCTGTCAATGTTCCACAAAATCATTTTTGCACAAAGCTCAACAGCACTGCTGGCCGAGAAATCTTGGCAACACTGCTGCCGAGTGCAGCTGGGCGAGTGAACTCTTCAGCTCTGGCCAAGAAATCTCGGCAGCAGCTGGCCGAGTGCACTCAACAACGTTGGCCGAGAAATCTCTGTATCAGCTGGCCGAGAAGTGCACTCGACAGCTCTGGTCGAGAGTGCACTCGATAGCGCTGGCCGATGATTCTCGACCGCCTGTGCGAGATTTCTCAGCCACCTGTTGAGGCTGGCCGAGTTTTCTCGCCTGGGCTGGTCAAGTGCACTTGTCGGGGCTGAAAGTATCGGGTTTTCCCTATGTTTAATTCCACATTTTCCCCACTACCAACATTTCCTCACTCCCCTCGTCTCTCCGAAGATGAGGCTAGCCCCCCCCCCCTCGTCATTACCATTGGCCTCCCATGGACCACAAGGGGGCAGACAGGCACCACCCCCCTAAAGAACTCTTCAATCGTCCGATAACTTCTTCACCCTACTTTTTTTTATCCATTGAGGACAATGACATGCTTAAGTGTGTGTGTGTGTGTGTGTGTGGGTGGGGTGGGGGGGGTATGTTTTTGTGATTGGCATGTGGTTTTGTTAGTGAATGCTTGATCAAAGTGCCGGTTGGTCGGAGAATCTCGTGTTTATGGACATTGACTTTGAATTGATTGTTTGTGATCGACTGCATCCTATTATGATGATTGAGAATTGCATTAGGTTGGTGCAAGTGTTTAGCTCTCATATGTGTGCAAATTAATGGATGTCTTCACTCGATTACTCCTTGATTGAAATTGCCATGCATTGAAATTTGTGAAAATTGGAATGAATGATTGGGTGATTAGGTAGCCATGCGAGTTTTGTGCAGATCTTCTTTTTCATGTGTGATATATCCCTCTTACCATGGCGAGTAACAGTAACATTCACCATTGTCACTAGTGAGTATGTTGGAGGCATAGGATTAGTCCACGTCCAAAAGTTGATTGTCCCTAAACATTTCATCCCCTAGTTAACCCTTTTGAGTCGTGTGACTTTAATTCTTTTGTTAGGAGCTTGTTGCTTTTTGAGCTTAATGGTGATTGATAGAATGACCATATCCTTTCTTCATGTCTACACCGTTGTGAGTCATCCTTGTGTCTCTGATTTCTCGTTTTTGTACTCCATGGAGGTTCTATAAAGGTGGATTTTGCAATGTTCTTTCCAGTAATGAAAAGGTAGTGTTGGAGAAAGTTCTTAATAGAAAGCATTTGCCGTTGAGTGTTAAAGTGGCATGTTTTTAGCTCTCTAACACCCCCCCTCCCCCCGGGGAAAAAGGAAAGTAGAAAAAATATCAAAAAAGAGATAGTAAATGGGGTAAATAAAAGATAGAGAGTTGCCATAAGGTTTGATGTGTTTGCTCTAAAAAGGGTTTCTTGGCACTCAAACCATTGAAACACCTAATAGCTTGTTGACATCCTTCACTAATATGATTGAAATTTGGATAGCAAGATTAGCCGAGGAAGTGTGGTTGAATTTAGTTCATGTTTGGTGATGGTTTCGAAGAAGGGAAGTATGCTTTTTTGCCATTGCTAGGGGAAGTTGCTTGAAGAATAAGGTCCAAATTTAGACCATCGTGAGACAAGTTAGCTTTACCCTACCGATGACACAGTGTCATGACAATAATAGAACCTAGTACGAGAGAAACCGTTGATTCCCACAATTGGTCATTACGCTTGGTTGAAAAGCCAGTGGAGCGAAGCTATCATGCACTGGATTATGACTGAACAGTGAACGCCTCTAAGTCAGAATCTGGGACGGCAATGATGCGCGCCTCCACTGCCCGATTGCCGACCAGGAGTAGGGGCCCTCCGGCTCCCAAAGGCACGTGTCGTAGGTCAAGCCCGCGGGCGAATGAGTCTAACAGGCCATCTTGAAGTACTATTCCCACCGAGTAGCAGATAGAATCCTTTATAGACTACTTCAATACATGACGGGGTATTGTAAGTGGCAGAGTGGCCTTGCTGGCTGCTGCCACGATCCACTGAGATTCATCCATATGTCGCTCTGATTCGTCCCTCCCCATCCTCAAACTCCCCCAACATGAAGCGAGGCTTAACCACCACCATCCACGACTTAATATGCCCAAGTCCCAAGTCAATGGGAAACAATAGGATGATACATCAACTCTGTGTCCCTTATATGCCCAAGTCCTGACTCATTGTGCCTCTATTATTCCCAAGTCCCCGTCCTTCCAAATCTCATGCTTTCATGGCCAAGGCATGAATGATGAGTCCTTGAACCAAAACACTTAGCAAATGAGGATCCATTGTAAGCCAATGTCGTCGTCATGTTTTTCTTGTAGATATAACCCCATCCCGCAGTCAAGGTCGGCCTTCCCACGGCAAGCCATTGTTGCGTAGAGAGCTCGAAAAGTTGTGCGAAATCATGAATATTTAGCCTTGCCCGATCGACCTGGCAATCGGGTCGGGTTGGGTAATTTCGGGTTGAAGTTTCAAGTGACAGGTCGGGTCATGTTGGGTTGGCTTATTTCGGGTTAAATATTGACCCAACCCATTCGGTTTCGGGTCGGGTTATGGGTCATTTCGGGTTATGAGCGTTCTCAGAAACAGTATCAAACATACTTCATATTTTTTTAAAGAACACAAATCTTCACATATGCATGCAATAGTTTGCCTAACACATGTCAAATATACATATTCTCAAATCTTCACATGCTAATGAAATGAAATAAAAATTGCACAAATCGTCAAAAAACAATCACAAGAGTAATACTACTACAAGAAACACATGATATTTGATTATCCTTAAACTCCAAGCATATCCTTCAAATCCTTGTGAATTTTTTTTAAACATCTCACTAATTTATGAGTGATTTTATCATTTTGGTAGTTACGTATGAAATGGAACGGGTCTAACGGATCGAACCGCTAACCCACCCAACCCGACCCAAAAAATTATGGGTTATCGAGTTAGGGTCATTCGGATTTCGGGTCATAAAAAATTCTATTTTCCGGGGGGATTCGGGTCAGGTTAACGGGTCGGGTTGTAATTTGCCAGGTCTATTGCCCGAAAAAAAAGTTACGACTTTTTCGGACAAAGTGCACAAGAATCTCCCAAGTGCACGACCAAGGTGTGCACATGGCGAGAAACCTCGGCCAAGTGGACTTCTCCTTGCCGGAGTCAATGCTGAGGTGCGCACATGGCCAAGAAACCTCGGCCGAGTGCACTGCCAAGGTGCGCACATGTCCGAGATTTCTCGGTCCTGTGCCCCTTTCCTCGGCCGAGTGCACTATTGAGGTGCGCTCATAGCCGAGAATTCTCGGTCGAGTGCAGATTTCCTCGGCCGAGTGCACTACCAAGGTGCGCACATGTCCGAGATTTCTTGGTCGTGTGCACCTTTCCTCGCCAAAGTGCACTACCGAGGTGCGCACATGGCCGAGAAACCTCGGCCGGGTGCAATGGTGACGTGCGCACATGGCAGAGAATCCTCGGTCGAAGGCACTATGGATGTAACACCCCACCCGAAAACTCATGGGTCGAACCACTGGTTCACCCGCACAACAGAAAATACTAACGAGGTTTACGTATTAACTCATCATTCAATAAATATACATCTTTCTTTTACTAAACATAACTCGAGGTGAACATATATATATATATATCAACTCTAACACATTTTTAATATCCAATCTCGTTTATTAAACATACAGCATCCAATTCATGACATCAAATCCAAACACTAGTTCGTTGAAACTCAAATCTCCATCTTACATACTTTGGTATAATCCATAAATCATAATAACTCAATCGATCAAATTCAATGCAATCAAACTCAACATAATACTTGTTTATGATACTTGTTTTAAAACACAAAACATAGGTAAAAACTCTCCTCCGACCAATCGTCTGCTACCTCATGATGGAGTAGAAGTTGCACAGCTTCGACGTCCAAGCTCAGTTCCTTTGCTGCGGATCTGAACACAAAAGGGGAGGGGGTCAGCTAACTAATTTAGCTGAGGTGTGGCGATGTTCCCTCCTACACGGCGAAGTCTATGGATACGTTTTCCACATCAATTAATTAACCACCTAATCATGGCATCTAGGTTGAAGTCTCAACCTAATATAATTCTCAACCTAGAATCCAATGTCCAGACAATATGCAAGTGCAATGCATTTCCATTTTATTAATTTGGGCGCCAAGGTCACCATACATCCACCCCCGCTCGAGCCTCATCATCTTAGTGGTTATATCAGAAACCACAATCATATCTCTCTGGCCACTGGCCTCATCGATCCTAATGATCGTTAGTAACAATATCAATTGGTTGGGGGTAAATGCAGGCCCTTTCTAAGTCTATGTGATTAATATGAACATCATATAAAATCATCATTCTCGTTATAATCTCAATATAATAATCATCCATCTCAATCGATCTTGGTGTAATTACCAAGTCTATGCCTTAGGGTAAATTGTACATATCATGTGTACTAAATTCATCAGATCATTCATTCAATCATCAAGTAGAAATTCATTCACAAACATTAACGGTATCGTACATTCAACGTATAAGGTGGCCGGTTTGAATCCTCGTACATGGTTCGTTAACCATTAATCGGTGAAAATCACCAAGTAATTTTAATGGCGGACCCGCCGTGGTGAAACTCCGAGAAGAGGAATGAGTGCCACTACTCATAGTACACTTCTTACAACCATATTCCCAAAAGATTTCACCGGGTGAATTCCCAGGTAAGTGGACAAGTACCACGAAGGTCTCGATTAAAAACCACTAGCCTAGACAGAATTTTCCCATGGTGGCTGTCCATTATTCAAATTTTCACGAATCCGATTGTGGTTTAACAATTATCCCAAGTAATCGTATTATGATAATTATTCAATCGCAGGCGTAATTTCACATTACTCATGGCCTGATATCACGTCATGAATTATTGAAATAATTACAACGAAGTCTCAAGGAATTTCACGATTCGTAGGTATCAATTACAAAATCGTAAATTCCAAATACTCGATTATGAATCATCCAATTCTACTCGTGTATCCAAAACATAATAACGACATTCTTCATTTTATCTTCGTTAAATCCTCAGCTATGTTTCAATATTAAACATATAGCACGTAGTAAAACACCGCCTATTCACCGCAGGGTCCACACACCTTATTTATGACGTAGTAAAAAATATACTCATTGATAACATTCTCCTCGCCTCTACGATCCTGTAGGCGAAAACGGTTCGTCGTTTGGACGTCAAACGGACGAATTACGGCCAAAATACGAATTCTGTCAGTTCTCGAAATTCCAAGTACTGTAAATAATATTTTCCAGTCAAACTGGTCGTTGACCCTTCCTATGGAAAAATTCCGTCCAGGTCCTCAAACCTTTCGAATAGACGGAAACAATACCTGACTTTCAGAAACTGACAATTCTACGTGGCCAACTTGCGAGGCTCGTTTCTCCCTTGTCCGACATCGAAAATGGATTCTGTCGAAACGTGCGTGCTCCTGGGATCGTCCTCTTCGTACGGTACCAACCACTCACAGAATGGTTGAGGTCGGAGTTGACGTCGTCGCCATCACGGGATACCGACGAAACTCCAGCGAGGCTCCGACAAGGCTTCAACGACTCTTCTAGCTTCGCCGGGGGACCTCCCCAGACCCTTATAGCGACCTACCAAACCCAGAAACTCTCCTTATCTCTCTATTTCATTCCTTCCTTTAGTTGGGACTTACCGTTGTCGAAAGAACTTTATTCTATATATATATATATACACACAACAACAGACACATCCTTTAATGGGTTGGTCTATGGTGGGTGGTTAATAAATTTTGGATCCAATCTATAATGCACAGCTCATGAAATGGAGAGTCATTCAGGTTTGTTTATAAAAAAATATGAATAGAGGACATGGCCCTTTTCCTTCCTTGCATTTGCATATATAGGAAAGATGTTGTTGTCCATTTGCTTTTAACCCATAATGGGTTCTTCACTTTGTGGACAGAGACCACATGCAGGGAACTTCGTTCCTTTCTTTAGAATTTGATATCGTCAAATAGTAACTAATAATATTTACTATGAGACTTGCACACAAGTAGTGTGCAGCCCAACTGGTAAATGGTGATGATTTTGTACCTTTAGGTTGCTAGTTCGAATCTTGGTGGTGAATACATTTTTTATCACATCAGAATCTGTCAACGTCTAAGCTCACTAGTTCGTATTTTTGCCCTTATTATAATTCGTTCATGCCATATTTATTCTCTCGATTTTTCACGTCTTTAATTGACGAGTACTCGTAGTTCTTCCAAACCGGTAGAATTCATTTCAACTATTGTTGGTGTTCTTTGTTCCAACGTCAAACCGGTTTGATGTGAGATTTAACCCAGATACGGGATGTTACAACTCTCCCCTCCTTAATTGGATTTTGTCCCCGAAATCAAACAGTATAATAAAAGTCTCTTCTGACTTTTTATTCATAAATTCGATACATTATCGACATTGTTGATTTAATACAACGAGCATTAGTTGGGAGGCATATTCGTAGAGTATACTTCGACTAACTCGGGGTATTTCTTCATCATACTTTCTTCAGTCTCCCAAGTTTCCGCTTCTCCTTCGTGATTTCTCCAAATGACCTTAAGCATCGGGATGCGTTTGTTCCTTAGCACGCGTATCTGTTGGTCTACGATACTCAATGGCCTCTCTTCGTAAGTCAAATCAGGTTCCAGGATCACATCTTCTTGTTGTATGACATGAGAGGTATCCACATGATACTTCTTCAACATACTCACGTGAAAAACATTGTGAATCTTCTCCAACTCAGTAGGTAAATCCAGTTTGTAAGCTACCGGCCAATTTTGGCAATAATGTCATAGGGGCCGATGTAACGAGGTGCCAACTTCCCCTTCTTTCCAAACCTCATTAATCCCTTCCATGGTGATACCTTTAGAAACACCTTTTCTCCCACATCATAACTTACTTCACGAGCTCTCCCGTCGGCATAAAGTTTCTGGCGATCTTGAGCTACTCGCAGTCTCTCTTTGATCACTTTGACCTTATCCGTAGTTTCTTGAATCATTTCCGGTCCGGAAAGAATTCGGGTGCCCTCTATATCCCAGCATAGAGGTGTTCGACACTTCCTGCCATGAAGAGCTTCAAAAGGAGCAGCCTGAATACTACTGTGGTATGAGTTATTGTAAGCAAACTCTACCATCGGTAGTAAATCGGTCCAAGTTCCTTCCACTTCCATCATGCAAGTTCGTAAAATTTCCTCTAGAGTTAGGATCGTCCTTTCCGATCGACCGTCTGTTTGGGGATGATATGCAGTTGAGAAGTTGAGTTTTGTCCCCATTGCTTCATGCAAGCTCTTCCAGAAGTGGGAGGTGAAACTAGGGTCTCTATCTGACACAATGGATAAAGGTACTCCATGTAACCGCACCACATGTGCTATGTAGAGTCTCGCTAGTTCCTCCATGCTTGGCTTAAAGCGAATTGGGATGAAGTGGCTGACTTTTGTCATCCGATCTAAAATTACCCAAACAACATCTTTACCACTCCTGGTGGGTGGAAATCCACTCACAAAGTCCATTGTTATCTTCTCAAACTTCCATTCTGGTAAGGGCAGTGGTTGCAGGAGTCCAGCCGGGGCACGATGTTCAGCCTTTGTCTTTTGGCATATAAGACATGATTGAACATACTCTGCAACTTCTCGTTTCATTCCTTGCCACCAAAAGTATGGTTTGATGGTATTATACATTTTTGTCGTCCCCGGGTGCATAGCATAAAGTGAGGAGTGTGCTTCCTCCAAGATATTTATTTTTTTCGTTCTTGTTGCAAGTAGGTGTATTCCGTTCTGGGATCGTTTCGGTCGGAGAAAGAAGATGAAGAAGAGGGGATTTCAATCAAATTGTGGGTGGATAGTTATCTTAACTTGCGTTTGTGAAATAACCTACCTTATTGGGTTTAGAATAATGCAATATGATCTCAGATCCAATTACTACTCTCGTGGGCTTAATGCATGCGGGGTTGATGGGCCGAGCACTGAATCATTCCAACTAGGGTTGAAAGCTTGATAAATGTGAATTGGTTTTCGGATATTCTCAACCTATTAATTATGGATCAAAATTTATGGAAATTCTAAATGTATTTCATTTTCACTAGGTCTCAAACGGATCATTCGTTGGGAAGGGATAGTAAAAATGTACCAAAAGTCTATCTATTGTAGTGCAAGTAATTATTATGAGGGGTCGAATCAGTGGTTGAGATTTCATGTCTATCTATTGTCCTAGTGTTATAGCTAATTATTTGAAGGGTTGAATCACTGGTGGAGATCTTCTAGTCTATGTGTGAGGTATTTCTACTGGGAATATTGATTTGTTGATATGTAGGAGGTAAGTAATATCTACTGCAGAGGTAAGAAATATCTTTTGTATTTATCTCTTACGGGACTTTTGTTTTTCCTTTTTTTCAAGTTTTAGCCGAAGTGAACTCTTTATATTTCTTTCCATTTTTCCATCTCTTTGCATTCTGTCTTACAATCTCTTTACCCTTTCATTCTTTGCTTTGTTTCCGTTCTCTACCCCAAACATGGTTGGAAACATCCCCCTTCCAAGACTTCATGGTGTTAACAAAACCTTTGTAAACAAGTATGTTAATGACCCCTGGGAAAGGAATCGTGATCGGTTCTATAGATTGTTTGCTTCTCGTTCTCTTCGCACTAAAATCATTGACGAACCTGTATAGTTTCGAGAGTTTGATATTCATGTGATGCACAACATCAACAACCTTTGATGGGGGTCTCTTCTTCAGTCCTTCCCTCTGCATCCATGTCCTCTCGCTGTTAGGTATTTCTATGCAAACATGCAGTTCATGGGTATTGAATCTCAAGAGTTCTCAAGTCTTGTTGTTGGTCATGAGATTAGTCTACGACTGAAGGCCTAGTTCGGGTTCTTAACATTCCCACTCGTGGCCTTCCCCTTGCTCATGAGCGTGAAATTTCTGCGTACAACTTTAATCCCACTAAGAAATACATCGAGCTTCTTGGAAGGCATGTACTCCCCGCTGAAAAAATAACCACTGCATCTCTCAAAGGTATGCATAGGGTTCTTCACTATTTCATCACGCATGTCTTTCTTCCCCGCAACAAGCTGATTGATGTCGTCAATCAGCTTGATATTTGAGAGATCTCCAATTCCTTGGCTTGATGCACGCTTGACTATTCCCACTTGCTTTTCGGCTGCATGATCAGAGCAAGTAGTGACGAGTACAGTGGGAGTTTGCCATTTGATGGATACATAAGCCTTCTGCTTGCCAATCTGGATATTCCAATGGATGATTATATTTTCAAGGAACCATCCGTCCTTATACCTGTCACCCTCATCATGAGGCACTATGTCACCCCGCGTAGGCCTTGAAAAGGGGCAGAAGAGGTTGTTCTCGTTGATGCAAAGGAGGTCGCTGCTCAAGTCGACATAGCTCGCAAAAGGCGTCGTATGATTCAAGAGGGAGCAAGTGAGGAGGCGTCGAGCGAGGACTAGGGGAAAGATATTGTTTGAGAAGAACATCTTCACCAAGAGAGATAGTTGTGCTTTTTTGTTATTTGATAACGAGATAGTTGTGTTTTTAGTTAGACGATTGGTCTATAGGCCTTGGGTCAGGATGAATTGGCCTTTTTTATGGTTGGGTTAACTAGTATTTTATTTTTCGTTGAATTAACTAGCATTTCCATTTGTGCCTTATTTGTTCGATTTTAGACTTCATTTATTTATGAAGGTTTCCAAACAACAAAAACATATTGGTAGTAATACTTTAGCTCAAATCAATATCTCTTTCTTATGTACTTTTTCTTATGCACTTTTACAAGCCAAATTAGCCAATTATACAAGCCAAATTAGCCAATTATACAAGTTACAATAGCTTGGCAAAGAAGCAAACTCAATTAGGAAGAAAAGGGGCAGAATTTGGCTAAGTGTCAAAACAGTTTCATGGTGCATACTTTGGAGATTCATATCTTACAATTGGTAGATGAAAATGCAAAAACAAGGATATATATTGAAGACCAACTGTTTGTCTTTAAGATGGAAGGATTTATGGATCCAGAACAAGCCATTAAGGTCATTTTAAAAAGGCTTAAAGTGGCTATCTCAAAATCGAGAAACTGCGTGAAAATGGCTTAGTCAGGAAACATGACAAGCCTACCTTGAAGCTCCATTAGAGGAAGAGGATTGAGAATCGAGCAGGAGCTTCGTACCACATGAAGTAGGTATGTTCTTTTTATAGTAGACTTTTACATTATTTGTTTCCTTGCTCATTTAGGTTTATATTAGATTTTCTTTGGCTATAAAAAAGCCTTCTATTTACGTTGTAATAGTTAGAGAATTTTTGAATAAAATTACTAAGGAGTTTCTTCGTGTATGGAGCTTTGGCTCGAGAATCATCCATTGTTTTAGCTACCTGTGGATTCCATAGCTACTACAAGGCACATGTTGAAGCTTTTCTGTTAAAGAGTCCAAGATTGTGTTAACAAGTCTCTTATCAATGCAATGCAATACAATACAATACTTCAATATAAAACCAAACTCCAAGTTAGAAAATCCATTGTCAAATCCAACAAAAACAAAGGTATTTACAAAATCATCTAATACAATACTTCAATCCTCAAATTTGGCGTTCTCTCTTTCTTGCAGTGCCTTTTGTTTGGCTTCCTTGTACTCGAGTGTGAGAGCTCCAAGTTTAGGTGCACGTTTTTTGGCTTCCTTCAGAACCTTATGCCTCAACATGTTCATAGGATATCGTACAAGAAACAAAGACAGATCCATTCGCCTCACCAGGCCACATGGCTCTACGAACATCAAACAATTCATATTAAGTCCACGTAAACAATACAATGAAAATTTAATTTTACAAACTGTTGTCGTTGCTTGCTTCGAATAAGAAGATTAGTGAACGGCTCACCCATATGAAAAAGGAATCGAATGATGCTCCCATCATCCAACTGCACACCCACACTCCACTATCCGACCTACAAAAGATGAAAATCATTGCATAAGAAACTGTTTCCTAAGCGCACCTTTGAAATGATGCAAAAAGAAACGTTCTTACCCATCCGTTTGTTCTTGGAGAGCAGGCCTTGTGTACGTATAACCTAGAAATCTCGGCGGCTCGCATGTGTGTTCGCGTTCAAGGTATAGAGCCTGCCACAAGCTATCCAAAAACACAATCTGCACAATTGATGAAGCATTGGTAATGAAAGCACGGACGCAGAGATGGATGATTACATAAGAACCACACACAATTTAATAACTCCACCATTCTTTCCACATCTCTCTGACGTAATGCCTTCTACTCCTCAGATTGACTTGAATCAAGGATGAGGACTTCTTGCTCCTTGATGAAAATGATAGCAAGGTACCAGTGCGCCTTCCCACAATGCTGCATATCCTTCATCAGAAGACACACCTATACAAGACCAAACATTTCATACTTATTCTACCTATACATATTGGTACATGCACTAGGAATCTAGAGGAAACAACCTTGTCGCAATTCTCTGTCCGCATTAGGAAAGTGTGGTCATACAGCTCCAACGCCTTGGTAGGGGTTAAGCCGTAGCAAGTAGCAAGCTCCTGCTCATGCATCAAATAGTTAACATAGATGGAGTCAGATGAAAGTTAAAGTAAATCCACAACAAACAGGAAGTATGCCAGAAACTTAATGAGGAAGTCCTTAAACCTAATGAAGTAGACCAAAAAATTGAAAAAAGAAACCACATAAATACTGAAACAGTCTAGAAAGTATAGAAATAACACCATAACGTATAAAAAGCATACCAAAAACCTAACCAACTAGATCGGAAGTGGGCAGCCATAAGTAACCATTACAACATTACTCCTAGTGTACCTGGAGGTCAGATGGCAAATACCATATTCCTTTTCTGGGTTTCGTGATCCATCTAGACTTGTTCCAGGGTTGATAGAGCGGACACAGTCGTAATAATCTATGACACAACAAAGTATAAACAATTAATTTTCTACGTAAATGGTACAAACGAATTAGCAAATGTTGTTGCTCACATAATAACTTACCTCACCATCCACAAACGAGTGGGGACATAAGGTCCACAAAACCTTCCTGGTTAATGAGTTGTGGAAGGTTTGTACCAATATCTCGTCTTGTGGTAGACTGGATAAAAAAATGTAGTGCACTATATTGCCTTGTTTGTCATTATTGTCAGCATGCACCGGGATCATGAATTTCATAACGGCCTGCAAAAACAAGGGTAACCGGATGAATATCTCTCCATGCTCTCTACATCCTTGTTTAATCCATATGAGCTTTGCCTTTTCCACTACGCTTCTGGATCACCTCTGGTTCGTCGTCGTCGGGAATAATGATGACGTCACCATCAAGCGTGTGTGGGGCAATTACAACCTCCTCAATTCTAGCACTCTTCGCGGGAGATACATATTTCTACGGCAACTACAAACCGAGAATGCCGTCGTATAAGAATTAAGTAACAGAAAGACTAAAATAGAATGGATGCTTGCAACTTTGACTAACCGGATGCTTTAACGACGAAGGATTCCCTCTTGATGTAGATTTTGTGGCCTTACACATGTTAGTATGTTTCAAATCATGGAGGATAACTAAAATGAAGTATTTATACTAGGGTTCTCTGCTTCGGTATGTGAAACGTAGGCCTTTCTCTAAGATTGATCGCATGCACGCAAAATAACGCAAAGGAAGGATATGATATGCTAGTTCCCTCTTCACCTACATGAATTGTTTATACTAGGGTTATTGGAAGGGTGGACGAATTTTTCCCCGCGTGTTTCTTCGTTTTCCTACAAAAATAACACTAGATTTTAGTCATCGGTCTCGTAACTCTTAATTGCGGATTAATATGTATTAGTCGTAAAATATATGGTTCGCGAGTTATTTGATGGTATTAACGTTAGGATCACGAAAATCTCGGTACGTGGGATAGAGGGTGTGATCCTGGTTATGTGTAGTGAATTGGGTTGTGCTGAGAATTAATATTTAATAGTTTCCATATGTAATTTGTTTTAGGGTTCTTTGCGACAGAAACCCTATAGTCTAGAATGGTGGGAAAGTGACAGGAGATAAGTGTTGGAATAATACGGTTTGAATCACCGCCCCCCCCCCCCTGCTCTCCAAACGGACACAACCGTCAGTAGCCAAGACCCAAACAATCATCTGATCACAGTGGTAGCTTGTGATGGATAAAAAAATATATATAAGTGGTAGGATTAGGTGATTTTAACTGGGGCTGTGCATGTGTAATGGACGCACCCATCCGCCATCCAACCAACCTGACCCGCAAAATAATGTGGGAGGATAGCCGGTCATAATTATACTAACCCGTTAATAAGCGGGTGGGTCAATTTGAGACCAAAACCCACCCCTAAACTTTTAACCTATAACACTACAATTACTGGTATCCATGTTTTACCTTAGGCGACAATTAGACCCAATTACTGGTTGCCCTTATTACCATTACTCTATCATATCCATTGGTTTACTTGATTCTAAAAGTTATTGATTTTACCAATTTCAACTGCTAATGTTGAATAACATTTCATCTTTCGGATATTTTAAGATCAAGTTTCGGTATTGAATATGTGATCAGTTTGTGAATAATTGTATAATATGATACCGAGAGTGGTCGAACATTGTTCATATATCTGGTAAGATAATTTCTGATTTAAGGGAATCCGCAAATTCTGGTATAATTGACATACGAATTATGAACTAATTCAATTCAGATAGAACTCATACGTTGTGATGGAAGAAAAGTTGAAAACCTAATGTGGGTGGATTGCGGATTGACAAATCTCTGACCCGCATTTTCTTTGGTGGAAGGATACGCAACTAACTGTTATGGATTCTGATCTTCATTTTATTGATGCAGCTATCGAGGATGCAACAAAGGGAAAGTGGAGATTTACGTGAGTCTATTGAGGGAGGGGATAAATGGAGAACGTGGGAGCTGGTGCGATGTTTACGAGCCCAGTGGGATGGACCCTGGTTATGCGGAGGTGATTTTAACCAGGTGCTATCGACAAAGGAAAAAAGAGGGGGGCGAGGAGCTCACAAGGCGGAGATGACCATATTTAGCGACTGCTTAAATGATGTCGGTTTCCAGGACATGGGATTCCATGGCTACCCTTTTACGTGGGAAAACAGACGGACGAGAGGAGGATACATTGAAGAACGGATTGACTAGTTTGTTGCAAACGACAAGTGGAGTACCCTTTTCCCGAACGGAAGAGTAAAACATGGAGATAGAGCTCACTCTGACCATCGCCCGATCTTCTGCGAAACTAGAGGAGAGGAGGATGTGGATGCAAAGTGGGGTGGTCTTTCCATTTCGACCCTCTGTGGACAAAACACAAGGAATGCTCTGCCACGATAGAGAGAGCCTGGAACAGTTCTCTTTCCAATGAAGTACTTGATAAAATGGAGTGTTGCCGAAAAGAACTTGAGAGTTGGAGCAGGACGACTTTCCCTGCCTTCGCAAAACTATTGAAGAAGATATAGAGGGCAATCCATGTCGTGGAAATCAGGGAGAAGACAGAGGAAAATCTTGCCCAGCTATGAGTACTTGAAGACGAGATGGCAGATGTGCTAGACAGTGAAGAAAGGTATTGGAAGCAGCGTTCCCGGGCTGACTGGCTTCGTTCAGGTGACAAGAACACCGGCTTTTTCTATAGGAAAGCTTCTGTGAGACGAAGGAGGAACACGATCAAAAAGATCCGTAACGAGACAGGCCGCTGGTTCACGAGCCAAGACGAGATTTCAAAGTGTCTGGTTGATTACTATGAGTCTTTATTTACTACCGACCCGGCTCCCTCTTCTTGGCCGATCCTTGAGTCAATTCAGCAGAAGGTTTGTGCGGATGATAATGCGACTTTATTGAGAGCGTTTGATAAGGAAGAAGTGTGGAATGCTCTAAAGCAGATTGAAAAACGAAAGGCTCCCGGACCTGATGAGTTATCTATGTTTTTCTTTCTGAAGTACTGGGCAATCATGGGCGAGGATGTTACGCGGGCAGTTCTTCAGATTCTGAACACGGGTGTTATGTCGGCGGGTCTCAACCATACGCTTATAACTTTGATACCTAAAGTTAATAAACCGGCAACATCGAAGGACTATAGACCGATAAGTCTATGTAATGTGTTGTACAAGGTGGCGTCAAAGATCTTGGCCAATCGTCTTAAACCGCTTCTAGACAAGATCATCTCCCCTTCGCAGAGCGCGTTCATCCTAGGGCATTTTATCACGGATAACATCATGGCGGCTTTTGAATGTTTTCATACCATGAAGCGGAGCAAACCATGGAAGCATGGGTTCTTTCCTGCGAAGATTGATATGGCCAAAGCCTATGATCGGGTGGAATGGCAATTCTTGGTGGGGGAAAACGGTTGCATGGGTTGCAGGTGAATCGGGGAGCCGCGGTGATTTCCCACCTTTTTTTCGCTGACGGTAGTATTTTCTTTGGCAGCGCAAATCAGCAGGAATGTGCGGTGTTAAAGGAAATCCTCCATGCATATGAACTGGAGTCGGGACAGATGGTGAATTTCCAGAAATCAGAGGTCTCGTTCTCAGCCAATGTCAAAACTCATAGTCGGCTTATCACAAGTGGCACATTGGGAATGAAGCCCGTAGAGAAGCACCAGAAGTACCTTGGGCTGGTGACTGAAGTAGGACAAGCAAAAAAGGACTTGTTTGCGGGTCTGAAGGAGCGTGTTCGGTCAAAGTTAAAAGGCTGGAAGGAGAGAACGATGTCGATAGTGGCACGGGAAGTGCTCATTAAATCGGTCGCCCAAGCTCAGCTAACATATGCTATGTCTGTTTTTAAGATTCCAGACGGCCTAATCGACGATGTTCACAGTTTGATCAATAACTTCTTGTGGGGTCAAAAGAACACAGAAAAAGGGCTCATTGGATTCGACGAGAGGAGCTCGTCACAATGAAAGAAGACGGCAGCCTTGGTTTTAGGGACCTCCGGAGTTTCAACTTGGTACTACTGGCTAAGCAACTATGGTCTCTTCACCTGTGCCCCGAGGCGCTTATCTCCAAGATCCTAGCGGCAAAATACCATAAAAATTGCTCTATTCTAGATGCTAGGCTGGGAAGCAGGTCGAGTTATATTTGGAGGAGCTTACTCAGTGCACAAGACTTCTTGTGTAATGGCCTTCGCTGGAGAGTGGGAAATGGAGCCCAGGTTAGGATTTGGGGAGATCAATGGCTGCCTGGTGATCCTACTTTTGTCCCCTCCGCCCCGACAGTCTTGCCGGTGGACTCGACCATTCGTGATCTTATGACCCAGTTACAGACGACTGGAATGTTGAGCTTGTCAATATGTGTTTCCCGGAAACCACCGCTCAAACCGTGCTATCTATACCGCTCAGGCGAACGGAGGAGCCAGTTCGCCTTATTTGGCGACACAGCGAGAATGGCGAGTTTACGACTAGAAGCGGGTATCCAAGATGGCTTGCACAGTTCATGGTAGCTGAAGGTATCACCCCGATGGGCGACAAGAAACTTTGGAAGACGATTTGGAGAATGGAAGTCCCGCCTAAAGTTCGTAATTTTATGTGGCGTTTCTCTAGGGGAATACTTCCTACAGGTATGAAGGTAGCAGCAAAGAATCCGAGATGGTCGGACAAGTGTCCGTTCTGTAATGCGACGGAGACACAACGTCACATTTTCTTTGAATGTAGTTGGAGTTGCAGGATATGGAGGGGGACACCTTGGGCGAGTGCTTTTTGCATCACGGGAGTACCGGACTGCTGTTCGTGGGTGGCGGAGGTGATAAAACAAGTGAGCCAAGCTAATTTGGAGCACTGGGCGATGCTGCTCTGGGCCATTTGGAAGGAGCGGAATGCTCAGCTCCTCAACGGTACGAAATGGCCTGAGGATGAGATAGTGATGCGCGCAATATCCCTCCTGTATGAATACAGTAAAAACCAAGGCCCGGAGGAAGTAGAGAATGACATCCGATCGGCTGCAACCTGGGCGAAACCGGGAGAGGGACAAATTAAAGTGAACACAGATGCAGGCCTATTC